CCCCCCCCCACCGCCACCCCCACCGCTTCCTCTCATACGCCGAGTCCAAGCATCTGCTTTATATTTGGACTTATTTCCTCTCTTCCCCAGTCAGGGGCAGGGTCCACTGGAGAGAGAGACTGTGGCTAACTTGTTCGATGTTCAGTTCCTAGCACCTAGGACTCTGGGATGTACTAGACACCTAATGATTAATGGGATGGATGGAAGGATAGCTGCAGGCATGAGTGGGTGGTTTGCTGCATTGGATAGGTACATGAGTGGATGGATGGATGGATGGATGGATGGATGGATGGATGGATGGATGGATGGATGGATGGATGGATGGGTGGGTGGATGGATGGATGGGTAGATGGATGGATGGATGGATGGATGGATGGATGGATGGATGCATGAATGGATGGATGGATAGTTGGATGAATGGATGGATGGATGGATAGTTGGATGGATGGATAGTTGGATGGATGGATAGTTGGATGGATGGATATTTGGATGGATGGATAGTTGGATGGATGGATGGATGGATAGTTGGATGGATGGATAGTTGGATGGATGGATGGATGGATGGATGGATGGATGGATGGATGGATGGATGGATATAGAGGCCATAGTATTATGTCTATGGCCCTGTCTTGCTTACATGACCCTAAGCTCCATGAAGAAACAGATGACGTCATGTTCCCCACTATGTCGTATTGAGGTTGGTTGCGGGGTGGGGGTGGGGGTCACTGCGGGCTCAGGACTTAACAGTTAAAGGACCGGGTTCCAAATGCCTTCCTTCTATAAACAAGGACATCCAAGTCCAGAGAAGAATAGGACTTAGCTTCACAAAGGAAGTTCCCAGCGGCCACCTCTGTGTCCCTCTTCTCTCCTGAGACTGTTGGGGACAGGTCTTTCTCTTGGACCATCTTTGTGTCCTGGCTGGAGCTGGTGGGACAGTGGCCGATGCCCTAGCCTTGGCAAAATCTGGAGGATACTGGAGTGCCGGCCTCTGATTTAAATCCTTAGTGTCTCCAAGAACTTTAAGATGAAAGGCAGAAGGCCTGCTCTATGAGTTTGAGTCTGAGCCTCAACTTTACCAACACCTGTGGGTAGAATCGCATCACTCACCGGTTGCTAGCCCGGGATTCCTTCAGCCCTAGGGGCCAGCAGGATGACTCAGCATGTAAAGGTGCTTACCAGCCAAAGCTGTTAACCTGAGCTTGGTTGCAGGAGGAAATGACCTCCCTTAAGTTGTTCTCTGACCTCCACGTGCACACCGACACCCACTCCCCATAGGCATAATCTTTTTTTAAATGAAATTGAAAAGTCAGATCTAGACAAAGGAGAAAGCATCCACTCTGTCTCATTCAGGCTCCCTGTAGGTGGATACCAGTAACTGGAGCCTGGTGGAATGTGCTTTGGGGTTGTAGAGCCTCGCTTAGCTTCCTGGGCACCTGTTCAGTGGCTGTGATTTTCCAAGGTGATGCTGAGGCTTATCGAGTCTTTTCAAGGACCCAGAGACACCAGGGCACCCTGGGACGGTGGAGGACGGGCTGCCGGGCTCCGCTCCCCAGTCTCTTTGGCCTGAAATTACACCCCTGAGATCAGCTGACCCATGGGAGGTGTGGGGGAAAGGGGAAAAATAAGTCCTTTGTCACCCAAGGGATGAGTCCTCATGTGCTGGCTAGCAGCCTCAGAGAGATTGCTAACTAATCCCAGAGCGAAAAGCTCTCGCAACCTGACTGTGCCCTTCCGCCCAGGCCGATCTCTCCCCATCCCCACAGAAGTCTCCCCTTCCACTTACCAGGATTGAGACACACTCCCAAGCCCAGATGTCCAGCTCCTCTGTACGACACACGCTGGGACCTGTGTGCTTCTTAGACACATGAAGAAACTATGGCCTGTAGCTGTGGCCATCTTGGCCCGGATCTCAGGTTAGAGGCTAGGATTCCCGGTCACGTTTAAGCCCTACTGGGCTCTGGGAACCCCCAAGTTCTACAGCTGCATCCCAGGCCATTTGCCGTTGGTGGGGACCCACTTTCTGACTTAGGCCTGAGGGAGCTTGAACAGGGCGCGCCACCACCACCACCAGCACCAGGGCAAGACTCCTTCCAGCCTGGACCAGAAGACAGCCTGTGTTACTTAGGTAAGGCTCTACTTTAAGCCCCCTTTGCTTTTTATTGTTATTGTTGTTGTTTTTAATTTAATTTTACTTTTCTTTAGAAAACGGGTCTTGCCGGGCGTGGTGGCGCACGCCTTTAATCCCAGCACTTGGGAGGCAGAGGCAGGCGGATCTTTGTGAGTTCGAGGCCAGCCTGGGCTACCAAGTGAGCTCCAGGAAAGGCGCAAAGCTACACAGAGAAACCCTGTCTCGAAAAAAAAAAAAAAAAAAAAAAAAAAAAAAAAAAAAAAAAACGGGTCTTGATTGGGAGGTACCCCTCAAAACTCCCCTGCTGGAAACTTCAAATTCCTGTGTCGATGGCGTCTGGGGGTGAGGCCATGGAGAGGTCAACATGGGCTAGTGAGGTCAGGAGGGTGGGGCCCCAGGATGGTTAGTTAGTGGTTCTGTAGGAGGAGGAAGAGAGGGGGGCTGATCAGGCAGTCAGTGCTCCTGTGCAAGCCCCGCCCCCCAAAACCATGTAAAACACCCAGGTGTTGCTGAGTGTGGGCACATGCTTTTGAGCCCAGGAGAGGCAGAGGCAGCCCCATCACTGAGTTGAGGCCAGCCCCATTTGCATATGGAGTCCAGGACAACCAGACCCTTTCTCAAAAAAACAAACAGACAAAAGCCGGGTGCAGTGAGTGCATGCTTGCAAACCCAGCACTAGGGAGGCAGAAGGCGGTGGATGGACCCTGGGGCTCCATGGTCAGCCAGCAAGCTAATGAGCAAGCTCCAGGTCCCAGGGAGAGACCCTGCCTCAAAAACGAAAACAGTGGGGCTGGAGAGATGGCTCGGAGGTTAAGAGCACCGACTGCTCCTCCAGAGGTCCTGAGTTCAATTCTCAGCAACCACATGGTGGCTCACAACCATCTGTAATGAGATCTGGCACTCTCTTCTGTATACATAATAAATAAATAAATCTAAAAAAAAAAACAGTGAATACTCCTGAGGAATCACACCTCTGGCCTCTGTATACATGTGACTACATGCTCATGCATGCCCACACATACATATACAGGCAGGCATGCACACCATAAAACAATGAACAAGAAGAAGGAGATGGAGGAGAGGGGAAGAGGAGATTCTGGAAGGGGAGATTCTGGAAGGGAGATTCTGGACATTTTGTCAGACTCTGAGTAGATGCCACACAGTACTTTTGGTCTTCCCAACATCATGAATCAAATGATTTTTTTTTAAATAAATGATGCAGTCTGCAATATTGTGTTATAACAACAGAAAGTGAACTAAGATAATACCAAAGTCTATCAGGACTCCAGGGATCATGGGTCCACATTCCCAAATGCTCACAGCAATTCTGCAGGAGACTGAACATCTCTGTTATTCCCCCATGGTTCCCAGCATGGAACTAGGCAGGTGTGAGGAGGCAGGATCTTGGTGGCAATAAGAATGAACCCGGGAACAATGACATCCCACGGGACAGGAGCAGACGGAGTTCACAGACTCCCAAAATCGTCAGCTGCACCAGCTGCCCAAACCCCCGCCAGAGCCTAGTCTACCCTGAACAATGGACAAGTCCCAGGCCCTCCATGGAGAGCAGTTAGCTGGTGGGCGGGACAGAAACCCAGCCTGGGGGTATGGGGCTTCAGGGATGCCGCGCTGCTGGACAGGGCTGTCCTTTTGGACAAGGAAGACGTGAATTTTCTTATTGTGGTCAACTACCTGACTAGAGGTAACTTGAAGAACAGGCTTATTCTGGTTCACAGTCTGAGGATGCAGTGTCCACGGTGGAAGAGGGGGCAGGAGGGGCAGGAGGGAGGGACAGGAGGGGCAGGAGGGGCAGGAGGGGCAGGAGGGGCAGCCATGACATCTGCAGCAGGAAGCAGACAGAGGCAAAGGATGCTGCTTAGATCACTTTCTCTTTCTCTTTTTCTTTCTCTTTCTCTTTCTCTTTCTCTTTCTCTTTCTCTTTCTCTTTTTCTTCCTTCCTTCCTTCCTTCCTTCCTTCCTTCCTTCCTTCCTTCCTTCCTTCCTTTCTTCCTTTCTGTTTGTTTTTTGAGACAGGGTTTCTCTGTGTAGCCCTGGTTGTCCTCGAACTTGCTCCATAGATCCCGCTGGCCTTGAACTCAGAGATCTGCCTGCTTCTGCCTCCCAAGTGCCGGGGTTGAAGGTGTGTGTGCACCACCACTGCCCGGCTTCACTTTCTCCTTTTTATTCAGCCTAGGCCCCCAGCTTCACATCACCCACCATTCAGGATGACCTCTAGATGACCTCTCACGGAGGCTTGCTGGTTGTAGAACTTGTCAAACCGACAGTCGAGATTAACCAGTCGCAGGAGACGGAAAAAGGTATGCCTGTGTGTTGTGTGTGTGTGTGTGTGTGTGTGTGTGTGTGTGTGTGTGAGTGAGCAAATGAACGGGGACTGGTGTGTCCCCGGGCTGGGTCACCTCATTGTACCCTCTTCACCTCTCATCTTGTCTTGACCCCTAGACCAGCCACGTTCCTGATGGAGGTCGGCGTGTGGGCTGCCCTAGGACTCTCCCTCACAGGCATGTCTGGCCTCAGCCTGGTCTCCCCTGCCTGGTTCCAGAGCTCTTCCTTCTCCTATGGTGTCTTTGTGTACTGCTCCTGGCCACAGGGTGACCGCTGGAACCAGAGCTGTGTGACCTTTGGGTCCCCGAAGGACATGCCTGGCTTGGCCTGGAAGGTGAGACACAGTTCTCCCAGGGCTGCTGGCTCCTGAGGAGTGGGCTCCGAGCGTCCGTAGCTTACCACCAGCTGTCCCAGTGTGTGAGCACATGGTTTCTCAAGCCCAGAAACTGTCAGAAACACCCAAAGAACCTTCCATAGGGTTCTGGGCTACAACTCTGAGCTTTGGGCTCTGCAGGCATCGGGTAGGGTGGACTCTGTCTAGAGGCAGCTCTTAGCCCTTGAGAACCTTTGTGCAAGCCAGGAAAAATCACCTTCTTCAAGACACCATACTGCCACCTGCTAGGAAATCGCTGCCATCCACAAGCAAATCTGGGGCGGCTCTGCAATATACAACCTGCATCCCCCGACATGACTCCACTCTAAGCACTGCGGGGGGTTAATAAATGAAAGATGAGGTGTTCAAGTCGTTATGGTTACGCATGTCATGGCAATCAACAGTGGGGAGGGTGATGAGCAGGTACTTAATCCAGCACCTAGGAGGAATATTATACAGCCTTCAAAATGGATCACAAAGCTGACATTGCAGATTAGGGGCTCCTCCTGGCGATGCTAGCAAGTGCTTAATAAGGGCAGGATGTAGTGGTTCACTGACCCGGATTCTGCTTCTGTTTATTTGATTAGCTGTGTGTCTTAAGGCAAAGGGCTTACAATCTCTATTTATAGGGGAAATGGGGTTATAATAACACATAGCTGTTGGGATCATTTCAGGGACTCACTGGGCAATAGGCAGAGTGATTGCCACGTGCCCCATCCCACCTCCCTCTCCTCTCTCCCGAAGGTCTCGGCTGCAATGCTCCTGGGAGGCTGGGTCCTGCTGGCCTTTAGCGCTCTTCTCCTTCTGGCCTGGGCACTGGCCCCGAGAAGGTTGTATCCTGGGAGGGGCCCTGGTCCAACACCCATGGTGCAGGCAGCAGCAGGTAGACTCCTGCACACAGTGCTGAGATCTTGGAGGTGAACCCCATCAGTGAACTGCCCCCGTCCTTCAGCAATTCAGGACTTGGGGACAGGAGGACACACAGTGTTGAAGCCACCCACACCTGGCCTTAGCTGACCTCGTCCTGTCCACTCCTGTGTTTCTCTGTGGTCCATCCGTTCTGTACCTTGTTTACCAGAGCTACCACTGCACGGTTGGATAGGCGGTGCGCCACCCAAGGATGCCCAATCAAGAGCCGAGAAGGTGCTGGGGTCCAGTCCTCGCTTCCCTTCGGCTTCAGTGGAGAAGGGTGGCTCTTCTCTAGGTCGCTGGGAGCCTCTGGGTGGGGTGGCCTGAGCCCCACGGTGGCTCTCATCTAACTCACCCTCTACCCCTCCCACCCAGGCCAGAATAACAAGGCCCCACAGGCTGGGGTTCCCGCTTCCTCTCCTGCACTGGCCAACGTGTCCTCCCCCTGCCCTCCTGCCCCACAGACAAGCCCAGCTGAGGGAAACCAGACCCAAGCAGCCGACTGGCTTATCCACCTTCCAAGGGCTTCCCATGGCAGGCAGAGGGAAACCCAAGTGTCTCTCTCTCTCCTGCCTCAGCCCTCCCCGTCCTGGCCTCACCTTTCCAGCTGCCGGCTTCTCTCTGATGCTGTAATCCCACACTCATGCCACGGTCCTCTCCCATCTCTGCAGGAATCTGCTTGGACCTTCCGAGCAGGGAGCTGCTTTCTCCTTCTCAGTGGGAGGAACCCCCCACCCCCAGCCCCGCCCAGCTGTCTGTTCATTTTATTTCTAGCCTTACTGTCCCCACGGGAGTTTCTTTTGCCTCTATTTTGCAATGGATTCTTGGGAAGAATACATCTCGATACATAGTATGGAAGCTCCCCAGGAATCTGCAATTTGACACCCCAGGATCTACCCTGATGCACTGGGGGTGGGGGTGGGGGTGGGGGAGTGAGGAGGGTGACAAGCTGAACAGAAACAAAGTATCACTCTCTGGCAGAGCTCTTTCCTGGGGGTCGATTTTCACTTAAACATTCGCAAAGCACAACGCGGAAACTCTGAAACACAATTTCCTGTATGCATGGTATAGGGAGGGAACCTAGGACCTTGTGTGTGTGCCTCAGTCTCTAGTGGGTGGATGGAGAGATGGGTCGATGGATGGATGAGTGGGTGCATGCACAGAGAGATGGGTAGATGGGTAGGTGAGCAGGAAGGTGGGTAGATGAGTAAGATGGGTAGATGGGTGGGTAGGTGGTTGGAAGGATGGATGAATTGATAGTTGGATGTATTTGATGGATGGATGGATGGATGATGGATGAGTAGGTGGGTGAATGTATGCATGGGTAGGTGGGTGAGTAGATGGATGGGTGTATGTATGTATGTATGGGTGGGTGAATGATGGATGAGTGGGTAGATGGATGGGTGGGTGGATGGATGGATGGATGGAAGGGTGGATGGGTGGATGGGTAGATGGATGGGTGGGTGGATGGATGGATGGATGGATGGATGGATGGATGGGTGAGTGGGTAGATGGTGGATGGATGGGTGGATGGATGGGTAGGTGCATGGATGGGTGGGTGGATGAATGTGTGGGTGGGTAGGTGGGTGGCTAGATGGATGGGTGGGTGAGTGGGTGGGTAGGTGCATGGAAGGATGGATGAATTGATAGTTGGATGGATTGGTGGATAGATGGATGGATATGTAGTGGTGGTAGGGGGTGGCAGGGTGTTGGGTTGGTCCTGGAACGGTAGGTCATCCCAGAAGCCTTTGCCCAAACACTGACTTTCCTTTTCTGCTGCCCCCAGCGGCCTCCACCCTTGTAGGTCTACTGGTTTTTCCAGCCACTCTGGCTTCCCCATTAGCCAAAGAAGTCTGTGAAGGCTCCCGCACATACTACGGCAGAACATGCCAGCTGAGCTGGGGCTACACCACTGCCATGTTCAACGCGGTCCTCACCAGCCTGCTCGTTGTCATCAGATGGCCTCCAATGACCACGATCCAGAGGACAGCCACCCCCTCCTCTAGTGACACTCGGGGAATCACTCTCGTGTCAGAATAAGCAAAGGAGCATCACTCAGGAAAAGCAAAAGACAAACAAGAACAAGCTACCCTACAGTCATATGAAATTGTTACATACATGTTCACATCCCACCTCCTCTGCTTCCCTGCTGTGTGACCTCAGGCAAATCACTTTCCCTTTCTGGACTCATTTATTCTTTGGTAAATTGGAGGTTGGCCTGATGCCTACTTAGTGGAGTTGTTATGAAGGACTTTGATTTGCCACATGTAAATGGAGCATGTTGTGCCATGTCTGGCACAGAGAGCTCGGCAAACGTGTGCTGTCATGGTGTCCCTGGCTCACAGAACTAAGGGGACTAGGGTGAGAATTAAATGTATGGGCGGAAAGCACAGAGAGCAACCCTGGAAAGATGGCTGTCTAATCCAAAACGCTTTTTGTTTTTGTTTTGATTTGTTTTGAGACAGGGTCTCATGATGTAGCCCTGATTGTCCTGGAACTCTTGATGTAGACCAGGCTGGCCTCAAACTCACAGAGATCTGTCTACCTCTGCTTTTCACGTGCTGGGATCAAAGGTGTGCACCACCACACCCATCTAATCTGACACCCTCTTGTGTGGGCAAATTCTTGTTTTCTCTCGTCCCTTATAATCCCTCCTCTCCTTAGGAATTTGAGTGTCTTTATTTCCCAGGAGCTGTTTAGTGAATCTGTTGTGTGCAGGATGCTGTCCCCTGCTGGGAGGGGCTCAGAACCCATCCCACCCTCCACATGAGTAGAACACTGATGAGGAAACCCTGCTATTTCTGGGGGCTCAGAGGCCTTCCATCTGTTTCTGATGTCTGCCTGCCTGCCTGTCTCTAGACTTTAAAAAAAATGATATATTTATTTATTATGTATACAGTGTTCTGTCTGCACATACCCCTGCAGGCCAGAAGAGGGCGCCAGATCTCATTACAGATGGTTTGTGAGCCACCATGTGGTTGCTGGGAATTGAACTCGGGACCTCTGGAAGAGCAGCCAGTGCTCCTAACCTCTGAGCCATCTCTCCAGCCCTGTCCCTAGACTTCTTGTCTGTGATGTTTTATGTTGATTGTCCAGTTGACAGGACCAGGAATCACGTCAGGAAGCAGCCTCGGGCATGCCAGTGAGAGACTTTCGTAATGAGGTTGAGCAGGCTGGGAAGATGCACTTGAACGTGCAGCACCATGCCAGGGGCTGGGCTCCCGAACTGCACAAAAGTGAGAAGGTGAGCTGAGCACCAGCATCCATCTCCCCCAGCATCCATCTCCCCCAGCATCCATCTCCTGCCTGTGCGCGCAGAGTGACCAGCTGCTTCTCACTCTGGCCGCCATACCTTCCCCACCACGATGGGCACCGTGGACCAGAATAAACCTGCTGTAGAATATTATTTTAAGGTGTGTTATTTTGTTGATGTTGCATTTGTTTAGCTCCGTCAAGCTGTGTTGCTGTGCCTGTCTAAAACAGCTGGTTGGTCTAATAAAGAGCTGAGCGGCCAATAGCGAGGCAGAAGGAAGGATAGGTGGGGTTGGTAGGTAGATAGAATACATAGAAGGAGAAATCTGGGAGAAAAAAAAAAAGAAGTAGCCAGAAAAGGAGGAGGACATCAGAGGACAGCCACCCAGCTACACAGCAAGCCACGGAATAAGAAATAACAAAAGGTATACAGAAATAAGAAAGGTAAAAGCCCAAAGGCAAAAGCTAGATGGGATTAATTTAAAGTTAAGAAAAGCTGGCAAGAAATAAGCCAAGCTAAGACCGGACATTTATAGTTAAATATATAAACCTCCACGTGTGTGTTTATTTGGGAGCTGGGTGACGGCCCCCCCAAAGAGTAAAACCAACCAACAACCAAACCCCCTGAGACCACTAATCTGTCATCCATTTGACAGGCTCTAGAATTACCTGGAAGACAGACCTCTGGACAGGCCTGTGGGGGACTGCCTTGTCTGCAGGAAATGAGGGCCCAGCTGCCCACAATGGTTGGCACCACTCCCTGGGCTGGGATCCTGGAGTGTGTAAAAAGGAGGGGGGGCCGAGCACCAGCACTCTTTGCTCTCTTTTCTTTGCTGGGGATACGGGGTGAGCCTGAGCTTTCAGGTCAGCCGTCCACAAGCCCCGCTGGGACGATCTTTGCAGATGGACACAGCTGGCCTGACAGAGATGGGGGCAGATGGCTTGGAGGGTCGTCCTGTAGAGCTGGGGTCCGAAGTCCCCAGAGGGCAGACAGGGACAGACGACCCCAGTTCATTTGGCACTGTGAGAAAGTGACCCCTATTTCCATTCCTCCTTTACAGCTTGGGACACGATCCTCACTGGGCTGTGGTGTATCTTCAATGCTTCTCACATCCTTTCTCTCCATTAACTCTCTCTCTCTCTCTCTCTCTCTCTCTCTCTCTCTCTCTCTGTGTGTGTGTGTGTGTGTGTGTGTGTGTGTGTGTGTGTGTGTTCTAGTGTGGAGCACGAACGTGTGAGGCCAGAGGTCAGCCTGGAGTGCTGTTCCTTGGGTACCATCTGTCAGGTCCGAAGGAAACTCCAAGTCCCTGAACTCCAAAGGGCAGTCCAAATATCCAGAAATGAGCTCAACCTGGGCTACAGGCGGCTTCCTGGTGGTTAGATCAAAGCCAGAATTCCTCAGGGACCTGGGAAGCTGGTTCCCCTTTACCAAAATTAGTCATTTTCCTTACCTCTGACAAAAAGGACATATGGCTCTCCAGTTAGTATATTATTAACCGTGGTGCCTATCAGCATAATCAAGGTCTGTGCCGGCCTCCAGGCTCCCTCAGTCCACACTCATAAGCACTTGTTATATATCTCAAAGCTCCAACAACAGTCTCCTGGCCCTCCCCTCCCCTAGCTACTCACCCTTCTTATAGTGTAGCTATTCTAACTACCCACTATGCCCCTGCTAATCTCACTGTGTTTTCTCTGTCCTCTACCCCTGTTATTTCCCCGTCTCTTGCAGACAGCCCCAGCCACGTCCAGTCGGTTGGCTATGTTCAGCCTACTTCTTCCTCTGCTCTGGACCCTTCCTGATGCCTCCGACTGATCTCTCCCTCACATCTAACAATACACCCTTCCCATACCACGGAGTGGTCGCGTAGTCCGTTCACACACCATCCACCTGTTTTGAGACAGTGAATCTCAATGGCAGGGCTGGTTGGCCAGGGAGCCACTGGATTCCTCCATCTCCCATTTCTCTGGCACTGGCATTCCAGATGTGTAGGGCCACACCTAGCTTTTTTATGTGGGTCCTGGAGACCAAACTCAGGTCCTTGGGTTATTAAGTATTTTGCCCACTAAGCTGCCCACACTGGACTCTCTTCCTCAACATCCTAGTTTGAATCTTAAATGCTGCCAGCTTAGTGTGAGGAGGAGGCAATGGACCCTTAAAAAGACAGGGCTGAGAGGGAGGTGTTTGGATCACTGGGGGGGGGGGGGACACTGGGGGCGTGTCCTTGAGGGTAACTGTGGGAGTCCGTCCTGTGGCTGGCAGTTGAGTGGCTTTGCTTTATGAAGGAAAGGGCAGAGGGCTCTGGGCTCAGAGTCTCTGCGGAGAGAGAGCATTTCAAACAATCATTCTCACAGTTTCCTGCTGCCTGTGCCAAAAGTTCTGGCTTCCCCTCTGTGCTTTTAAAAGTGAGTTGGTGTAAGGACACTGTGCCTCTGGTGGTGAGCGGGACACTGTGCCTCTGGTGGTGAGCGTGACACTGTGCCTCTGGAGGTGTGCGGGACACTGTGCCTCTGGTGGTGAGTGGGACACTGTGCCTCTGGAGTTGAGTGGGACACTGTGCCTCTGCAGGTGAGTGGGACACTGTGTCTTGGGTGGTGAGCAGGATACTGTGCCTTGGGCAGTGTGCAGAATCACACCCAGTGAGAGACTTGGACATGAGGGATGACGATGTAGGTTCAGGGTCAGGGAGAACCTCCTTGGTCATCGGACTGGAGAAAAGTGTGTCTGCCAAGGTCAGAAATGGACAGCACCCCCTCCCGCTGCCCCGCTTTGGCCAACCCCCCTTCTACTGGGGCCTCCCCTGGGAGAGGAGGGGGAGGGGGAGGGAAGGTGACTGGTCCCACCATGCTGACATGAGAAGGTGAGGGCCTCCCAGATGAGATAGGGCCTGCCTATAATCACAGCACTTAGGGGGATCAGAAGTTCAAACCCAGCCTCAGCCAGCCTCTGCTGGAAAGGAAGGCCAAGGCTAGCCTGGGGTACATGAAACCCTGTCCACCCCCCCCCACACACACACCCCTACACAAATGCTGGACGTGGTGGCACACACCGTTAATCCCAGCACTTGGGAAGCCAAGGCAAAGGAATCTCTTGTGTTCATGGTCAGTCTGCTCTAGAGAGCAAGTTCCAGGCCAGCTAGGGCTACACAGTGAGACCTTGTCAAAACAAAAACAAAAACAAAAAAAAACAAAGAAACAGCAAAATAACTAGACCCACACTTAGGTTTTTCCACTCGGCTATATTTGCTCTGAATAGAGCCACCTCTTCAGAAAACACTTACAAGACACTTGGGCAACACTAAGCAGAGAACTCCCTGGGCAGGGGGGGGGACACTCCCCCAAGGCCCAGCTCCAGGACAGGAGAAAACACAACACACAGACATCAGCTGGTAAGTGGAATAAATACGAGGCACTCAGAACCACAAGCACACGCGCTCGGGAGGCACGACGCGGGTCGGAGGGAGATCCTTGTGCTCTACTCCACACTGGCCGGTTACAAAAATAAATCAGGGTCAGGAGGTCCGGACCCAGCTGTGCTAAAATACCACCCCCTTGTGCCAGCGGCCCCGTGGCAAAACCAACGTTTATCGGACGACCCTTTCTCCTCCCATCGTGGGAAGCTGGGGGGATCTGGCTGGGAGGCGACTGTGGTCACCGGGTGGCCTCCCTTCCTGCTGCCCTGGGCACACGTGGGGCTGTCCATGGAGATCCATTCAGGGCTCTCTCTCTGTCCACCCTACCCGCTGGGTGGAGGGCAAAGGTTTTAACTCAGGAGGGCTGACGAGAGAGGACATCACAAGCCTGCAGAGTTGGGGCTCAAGGCACCCCCTGGGGATGTTTCAAACGACTCATGTCTCCTCTCTATGAATTCCTACTTGCTATTCCTTGATTGCCCCAGAGGATGTATGTAGGTCCTGGGGATGAGATTCCGTTATGACTCGTGATTTCTGCTGCACCCCCAGACCGCTCTACTGAGGGACAGTGGGCAGGTCCAAAAGCTCATTCGGGGTCGGTGTGTGGATCAGTGGGTCTTGGTAGGAAGGTGTAGAGGAACCATTCTCAGCCCCACTTCATGAGCCTCAGTCCCAGCTCACCATCATGGAACACAGACCAATCCCGCCACGGGCCAACCCCCGGCTCATCCCTCCTCTGCCCCGAGAGAACAAAGTGCTTAGAGAAGACTAGTGTCCCTGAGCAGGGCTTCCACAGACACACACATCTGCAGACTTCCACAGACACACACATCTGCAGGCTTCTGAGCCCAGGCCCACAGGTGATGGCTGCGAGGTCTCCCTTAGGGGAGGGTAGGAAGGGTCGGGCTCTCAGGAGTTCCTACCTCCCGCCTACAAACACTGCTTGGATCCCCAGGGCACTCACAGGATGCCTTCCTAAAAAAAGAGTCTCCTGGCAGTGGGCAGAGAAAAGTCAGAAAACACAGAGAGTGAGATCTGACTCCAGCAGGGCTGTAGGAAGCCGTGTGCTTCTGACAGGGTCATGGAACAGACCTCAGCATGAAGAGAATGGACGGGA